CTAAATACTCCCAACTCGGGAGTATTTAGTTCCACGAATACTTTTGTAATAAGTACAACTTCTTCCATAATAATTTTGTGGTCTTGCGGAAATGTAACCAAAATCGTTGTCGGAATTTGCTAGTAAAGTTTCTCAGGTAACGTTGTAGAAATTACTTAATTAATTATTTGTCTGTGAAATGGTTTATATAATGAATTAATTATGATTATTATTATTTCATAAATTAGAGTACACAGATCAGAGAAAAAGGTTTCGCTGTTTTATGGTTACATTGAACATCAAATCACATCACCAGCCTATTAATGTCCCCACTGCTGGGGCACAGGCCTTTCTTATGGATGGAATATAGATTGGGCCAAGGTTGATAATGTTCGGCTATCTTTCTCTTGCAGCGTGTTACAAAATTACGGATACCTACCTTGTGTCAAATACTCTACTTCCTTTTCATCTAATCTCAAGTCACAACGACACTAAAGGAGTTTTCACTTCAAGAAAAGAAGGTACTGTAACGTCCGTTACATTACAGCCTCCTTGTCTGGGTAAAGTCTTTGTTCATGTAATGCCTACGGCTGGCAGTCATATTAAAAAGTTAATGTCATGATTTTAATATTTGAAATTAGGAATCCTCTGTCGTTTGATAAAAGATTCCAAGAGATAGACTTCAGGCACCAAACCATGCGTTAATAGATTAAGCTCATATATTATATTCGCCTGAATTCAGATTTCAAATAAATGAGTTAAACATATAAGTTGTTTTCCATTAATAAAATTACGCCCCCAGGATCTACCCCTTCAGGGTAGATCGCCGCAGTACCTACGGACCGTGATGAACCAAGACGACTTATATTATCGACTATGCATTTGAATATCACAAATATTCTTATATTAAAACAGTTTTTAATAAGTATGAGAACAAAATTTGCTTCAAATGCGTTAAATTAACAAACATTGATTAGATACCTATCGAAAAACAACACTTTACGTACTCTAAGTATTATTTTCGCATTTTTTCATGGAGCTCTGCGGTATCTTGACTTTTCAACGGTCCGCGCGTGACTGTGAAATAAGAAGTGCTTGAGTGGAGCTCAATTACTTCTTGATTGGGACACATTTTGAGCGTACGTGGTGTATCTAAGGTATTTAATATCATATTTTTTATGTTATACGAGCAGACGGCTCAACTGATGGTAAGTGATCATCGTCGCCCATGGACACTTGCAACACTAGGATTATCACAAATGCGATGTCGGCCTTTAAGGAAGGAGTACGCTCTTTTGTGAAGGTTTTTGGGTCGTATTGGTCCGGAAACACTGCTGGCGATAATATATTCCACAGTTTTGTCGTACGTGGTAAAAAATTTCGACAAAAACGCACGGTAGTGGATAGCCACGCATCAAGATGATGGGGATGAAATTTTTGTCGCGATGTACGATGGCGAAATGCAGCAGCTGGAATTAATCCGAACAATTCCTCAGAACACTCTCCGTGATAAATGCGATAGAAGATGCAGAGCGAAGCTACATCCCGTTGTAGCCAATCCAGTGTTGCCAACTCTACGTCTTTTTACGTAGATCTACGTATTTTAGGCCTTTTCTGCTAACCTACTAACTTCAGTCCCAAAATCTACGTATTTTCTTTTAATTTGTACAAATTTGCAAAATAACATAACTCAGTAGAATAGGGAAGCATATTTTCCGTTAACTATACAAATGTTTATTTCTTATAGTTTTTGGTATGAGGAACTGAAATACATCGATTTCACTTCATAAATTCAGAATGACGTCACAAAATTTATAAACAACTAAACGTCATTGTTGTGTTACTATGGTTTCTTTCGTCGGACTAAAATATATCTAAAGACTCTTATATCTTGTAGAAGAGTTTCCGTTTATTGGTTTTGTTGTCTAAATTAATGCTGGACGCCGAATTTGTAAAAGCAGAAACGACAAAGCTCTCTTACTTAGTAGGTACATTAATAAACTTAAAAAAAAAAATGAATCAGTACTTACACCGAAGTGATCTATGCAAAAAGAAATGACTTTCAGTCGATAAAGTTACAGGATTTAGCAAGTTTTAAACATGTGTTCATGTGTAGATATGTTTATTTCTCTGGGCAATTTAAATTACAACTTTTCTGGAGTCTTTAACGTTGTGTTTCTACATTCTCGCATAATACAATCATGATAATTACTACAATACATTTTTTCGGTCTAATATAACAATTATTAACCATTTTAAAACATATTTTCAAAGGGTCAACTAGCCTATTTGACAACAGTGTATTCTTGTCATTCTTTATACAGAATGAAAAGGAGAGACTGATGTTAAATTTAGTGCTAAGTTTAGAGAATTATGTCAAATTGACACCTAGCAGCGTCTGTGTCTGATGGTAAATGTCTACCACAGCATGGTAAATGCTGCCAATGTAGAGTCTTCTCCAAGAATTCTATGTTCTATCTCCTTTTTTTAAATAAATTGTATAACAAAATACTCGTTTTAACGAACTAGCTTCTCTCAAAAAAAAAATACGTAGATCTACGAACTTTTCATATGCAATTTTTACTAATTCTACGTAATTTTGTCATCGGGCCTACGCCTTTTTCAAAATCCGAGTTGGCAACACTGAGCCAATCAAACAAAACAAACAAAGACACGACAATAAATAATCGAACCAATCAGCGCTCACAGCCGAAGGGACGACGTAATCAGAAACAAATTTTGGTCATGTTGTGAGCAATTGCTCACACATAACTGGCGGGCCTGCTAGATGTCTTCTGTGATCCAGATGTAGTGTAGGTCAAGCAATTTTTATTATGGTCCGTCATAGAATGTTACTGTTAGAATTGTTCTTTTGGCTTTTCCATATGAATTATAAATCATGTAGTATTTACAGTTTTAACATTATTATAATTTTGTAACTGTCAGTGCTATTCATTGAATATTCAGTTCATTATTTAGCCTGTTTTCCTCCACAGCTAAAAATGTTTCAGGATATTTTTAAATTTCCGTATCCAAAGGGCGACAAACGGATCTCTCCGATAGGCTAGACAGGGGTGTCAGTCCGTCTGTCTGTCACGGAACTCCGTCTCTTGTGAGGAAATAGATAAATTGTCACAGAATGTATAATTTTTACAATTCTTAGTAAAAAATCCGTTACATTTATAATTGACTTTGACTTAAACTTTGAGCATGGGTGACCGAAAATGTAATCCAGTTATTCGTGCTTCAGAAGTAAAGCCGTTGGTTGACTTCATCTGCAAACGTACATTTGAAGTCAAATAAACATTTTGGTGTTGTTGCCATGCCAACTTAATGACAACTAATAGATCTACTATGAACATGGTACTATAGAAGCCAGAAAGAGGTGGCGCCACAGTTATGTGTGAGCTCATAACTTGACCAAAACTTAGTTCTGATTGAGTCGTTGCTCTCGGCTGTAAGCGCTGATTGGTTCGATAGTTAGATATCGCATTGTTCGATTGGCTATTATCTATTAGTTGGAAGTGTAGTAGGGGCGAGAATTCGACATCGATTCACGTAAAAACGGTTTATCCTTTTCTGTGTTCTGTTCATAGCACCAACTCCAAATGTGAATTTGATTTTAAATGTATTTATGAGAACAAGTATTAATTCTCCTTTTCAGTGCTTTGTTTTTATGATGTCGGTTTTTTGTGAAAAAAAGCCAGAGTAACATCAACTATGTACATGGTACCCGTTCAGCATTATCTCTTAAAATAACACGAATTGAGTACTGTTTGTAATTGAGGAGTTCCATTATTGTCTCCGAAAGTCCTCATCAGATCTTCGCTAAATTAATATGCGACCATCACGTCATAAAACTGATTCAATCAAAAAACGAAACATCAAAATCGGCCCTCGCATCTCGGAGATAATAATGTGTAAACAAAAAATTTATAGTGTCGGATTGAGAACCTCCTCCTTTGTGGTGGTGGTTATGTGTATCTGTCGGCGAGAAAGGTTCCAGGGCTCCACGGGACCACTCTATTAACATAAAAAAGGAAAAAAAGCGACTTTATGTCGAGTGAAGTGAAAATCACACTATTCAAGTAGGGTAGCTTTGGGTAGTCATGCTCTCTTAATAGTCTCTTCGGCGGTGTCGTGTGAGGCGGGTCGTTACGTTCCCTAAAATATGGTTGAGCGAAGCGATGGCTGGTTCATGCGTCATGCTCGTGAATGGGTGCTGCCAGCGGAGATGAGTCTGCCCTAACTTCCTTAATATTGAAGTTAATGTTTAGTCACACTTAATATAAATAACACTATTTATATTTATATTGTATGACACAGCAATCAAATGCAGGTAAACAATTAATGTATATTTAATAATTATGTAATGGAAGGTGACTTCATGAATCATCTCTGAAGTCATTTTTCAATTTGACTCTTTAAATAATAAAACAGGGAGAAAAAAAACAGCCCTTGCTGAGTTTCTTGCCGGTTCTTCTCAGTACAAGGTCTCCCGCCGTAGATTTACGAACCGATGGCGTAGCTTCTAGACATTCATAAGTGCTTGTAACATCCTAAACTGAATTAATGATTTTGATTTTTATGATTACAAGGCTTACTCACAGTGCTTACTACTTACCGATGGCGTAGCTTCTTGACCTTCACAAGTGCTTGTAACAGCCTAGACTGAATAGATGATTTTTGATTTTACTCCAGTAGCCTCCTGGGTAAATCACACTCGCCGGACTGTCAATGACGTACGTATTCAGTACAATGACGTCTTCAGGATACTGATGCCTCTGCCTCGTTATTGTAGCGCATTACAGATGCTGGCGGAAGTACACACGGACGACTTTTATGCGATTATTCGCAAGATAGTTGTGGCTATTTGAATAATTATATACCTATATCTAGGTATAACTACCTACTGAATGAAATACCTTTAATTATAATAAAACAAATATTAATCTAATATTTACTTCATCCAGTTATTTAAAAGGTCGCAAAATCAAATTGGACTGGAAAAATCCAAAGATACACGAAGATCTATAACGATTTATCTGTTGTGCGTTATCGGGGAGTTCCCTCGCGCTCGTTTAAAAGCTGTAGTGTAAGACGAGCCAGCATCATTCGCTTTCCGGCGTCCCGTGTCGTGTGCAGTACAGTCCTCCTCCACATTCTGCCTTCAACATGTGGACCCTCGTGCTGCCGCTGGCGCTACTCTGCGCAGCAGTGTACAGCCAGAACGCCGCCTCCGTGACCCTCAACTCCGACGGCTCCTCGCTCTACGCCACTAAGCTCGGTTTGGCCCACACCGACAATAACGCACTCAGCGCCCTGTTATCCAAATCCTCAACGGGAGCCATCAGCAAAGGACTCGCTTTAGATAATGTGTAAGTTCTCGGTTTAATATAACTTTACTATATCGTGTACATTGATAAAGTTTTTGTATTAATAGCTTTGTCTCGTTTCAGGAATGGCCACGGGCTGTCAGTGTCGCAGACGAACATTCCTGGCTTCGGCAGCCAGCTGACCGGCGCGGGGAAGCTGAACCTGCTCCACAACCAGAACCACAACCTCAATGCCAACGCCTTCATCACCAAGAACATGCCCAGCATCCCGCAAGTGCCCAACTTTAATACAGTTGGAGGCAATCTGGACTACATGTTCAAGTGAGTCGTTCATACCACTTTTTTCTTACAATATTATTAGTTTGATTTACTTGGAACTCATCATTGTGAGACTTCGAAATTTATTTAACCTTTCAATCATCGTTACATGAGCTACTCATATACTTGTGATCATTTTTATAATGATTGATAAACATAAATCCAATTTTATTATTTCTAATTTATAGGGACCGTGTGGGCGCGACTCTGGGCGCTGCGAGGACCCCATTCCTGGACCGCACTGATTACTCGGCCATGGGCAAGCTGAACCTGTTCCACTCCCCCTCCTCCTCCGTGGACCTCAACGCTGGCTTCTCCAAGTCCGTTTCCCCCCACATCAACACCAACTGGCAACCATCAGGAGGATTGACTTTCACCAAATTCTGGGGATAAACAACTGCAGTACTTAATTTGATTGTAAATAGTGTCTATGTTTATTTAGTTGTAAGATTAGATTTAAATGATGGTGATTTGAAAAAAAAAATCATTATGAGAAAAGTTTTTTTGGAAGCATAATTCTAAAAAAAACCCGAAACTGACTGATAGCACACAAGAATAACTATAACTTGGATCACGAACGATATTATGAAATATTGTTTGTGATTAAGTAGTCATTATAATTTAACTTAATTATTTAAAAAAGATATACCATAATAAATTAATTAACTATATTATATTTTGTTTTCATTCTTAAATGTAGTAATATATTTAATGGATACAGACATCACTCTACGTCGTAAAAAACTTTGTAAGAAACACACATCGACTAACATTGAAGTGGTGATAACAATATGAGTACAGCTAGAAACTTAGAAAACTCAAGGCGTATTTGCAAAAAAGGCACATGCACAAAAATGGCGGATCTCTCATACTAACATAAAAAGTTGGACACTGTTTTGGATCTGTCTTTAAACCAATTTTATATGTAATGTAACCAGAACCCTCCAGTTGCTCCTAATCAAACCTGTCACTGTAGTTTATTTGTATTTATGTGAATGCTGTATTCATCTATAAAAAAGCATATCTTTAAGTATGGTATTTTGGTCCATAAATTACGTGAGGTGTTATTTGGATTTTCTGTCCCTCCCTCCCCCCCTGGTGAGATGTCGTGAGATTTTATTCAACCCCCTCCCTCATCCCCCAATCTCACGTGAGATTTTTCAAAATGTGGGTTTCTTTCATAAACGCGTTGGATTGTTATTGTAAAAAGAAAAAGAAATGCTTCGTGCTTTTATTTACAACTAGTTAAGACTAGTAATCAATATTGCTGAGAGTTATAAGTGTAATAAAAATTTAACAATAGAATACTTGATAGATACTACTGTGAAAAAAAATTGCGTGATATTTGCCGAGACCCCCCCTCTCTCCAACGTAAGATTAGATGAGATTTGACTCGACCCCTCCTCCCCTTGAACATCTCACGTAATTTATGGACGCCCCCTAACATACTTGGTACATTGAGTACTGTTTGTAATTGAGGAGTTCTATTGTTGTCTCCGAAAGTACTCATCAGATCTTCGCTAAATTAATATGAAGCCATCACGCCAAAAAACTGGTGATCGTGTAAAATCTTGTGAACACTGAACTAATCTGCAGAGTATGCTGAATCTCTTCGTACGTAATTCGTCTGTTTACTTGAGTTAAATTTTTTACTGCCAGCACACTTTCTTCGGTGACAGCCGTCGTAGGACGACCACTCCTTTGTTCATCCCCCAAAGTAAGACGACCGCGTTTGACCTCGCTATACTAGCAGTATATTGTTGCTTTTGAAGGTCCTTCAAAAGCAACAAAATAACTCATCAGGTTTAAAGCCACATTTAAAATCGTAAAAATCATAGCACAAAAAATGTTCTCGATGCAGATCCATTTTTTAATGAGACAAGAAAAGTTTAATAAGCTCTCGAAAGAATTCGGAGGGAAATTTTAAAATCGAACAGTGGTATTTTGACTTTTAACCAATCGAAGTTTTCAAAATAATTACAAGTGGCCAGTGTCTTACACATAAAAACTTTTTTTCGCAAAACTTCTGAGTGGCCTGGTATGTGCGAACAAAAAGAATTATACTGTCGAATTGAGAATTTCCTCCTTTTTGAAGTCGGTTAAAAATATTGTGGTGGCATAAACATAATAATTATGTATGTTACTCGTTGTGTTGCCAGGTGTTCCGATTTGCGCGGGACGTCCCGATTTTCAGGGGTTTGGGGCCGCGTCCCGATTTGTAATTAATATAATGATGAAATTTAGGTAATTAATAATAAAAATGAAATTTAGGTAATTAACATAATACTATACTTGCAATAGTAGTTTAAAACGCAATAAAACCCCTTGTTTTTAGTTTACTGTCCCGATCTGCAACCCTAAATCCCGATTTTTTGACCTCATGTACCGATTTAAAACAATTTGGACCTAGCAACACTAGTTACTAGGTATAATATGACAATGAAACCCATCACCCATGTGTCAGACATAATATATATTTTAAAACCTGAGATACGGTTTTCAGAATTCACAAACCTTATTATAAATAAAACACAAAGCGACGCTCGTCTCTTTGTTTCTCACAATTATATCATCAAAGCGACAAGTATAATAATAAATAAAAATTTTGCATCCTCTGTAGGGGAATCCTGAGCGTGAAATGAAATTATCTTCGCCCCAATGAACTCTGATTCACGGCTCATTTAAAGAGCAACGTCTCAAACATTTGATAACACGTGAATAACCTAACACAGGCAGTTACCGCATAAACATAACTTCTGCACGATAAATATTGTGGTTTGCGGTATTTTTCGTCAATAGAACGAAGATTTACATTATTAATGCTAAATAATATAACTACATAAGTGGGTCCATACATTTCTTTTTTTGTTTAATGGATGTTAAACAAGCATATGGCCCGCCTGATGTTAAGCGGCCATCATAGCCGATAGACGCTTAAGATACAAAAATATCACTCGCGCCGTTGCCTACCCTGACCTTATCCCCTACCCCGTTGAGCCCTGGAACCTTACACACAGACAGAAACACAACACAATCAAAAGGTAGTGTTAATTTTCTGTAGTATTCTTTAAGGCGAAGGTTCGCTATGCCCTACCTTTCTTAAATCAGAAGATTTAATTTAACAATAATTAAGCCAGAAACATATTAACGTGTCGTGGCGTGACGTGGCGCATCGGTTTCATACATTTATTATGGGTTAGAGAGAGATAGAGAGGTTAAAGCGTCGACACGACACGATACGTAAATATGTCTCTAACCATAGTAAATGTATGAAACCGATGTGCTTCTGGTGCGCCACGACACGACACGACACGTTAATATGTTTCTGGCTTTACCTTTTGGTGGTTTTGTGTAACTGTCGGTGGGTTCAAGGGCTCCACGGGGTATATATCTGGGTCGGAAACAGTGTAAGTGATATTTTTGGTAGCGCAAGCATCTATGAGCAAAGGTGGCCGCTTACCATTCGGCGGGCTATGCCCTTGTTTGCCACCTTGGTATCCTGCGTGTTTTATCAGGGCACGTTATGCCTTTGGTCCCAGCTGTATCGGCAGCCATTAGCACCCACCAACCTGCACTAGGCCCGCTTGGTGGGACATCGCCTCTGTGCCCCACGATATTAAAATTAGCTCATTTTAATGAGTTTAATGAATGATGTGCATATTGTTTATTAACGCAAAGAAATAAAAATGTCCATTTTGGTGAACTCATATCTAATTAGGACAGTACGAAGTGGTGATTAATACTGTTCCTGATTACACTTTTTGAACTTTTTTTACTGAAATGTAATTATAATTACTTTTCCTTTCCTCCTGGAAAGCTGAAAATACCTATTGCAATTTTCATCATTTGTTCTAATATCGTGTCCATTTTACGTCCTTTTACGTCCTTTTACGTCTTTTTTTACGTCCGCACAAAGTGACCTGAATTTACCATTAAGTTTCTTTTGAGTTAATACTGTTACTTTCATTGCGGCAAATTGAAGAAGACAATATGTCACTAAAAGTCCTGAGACTTAGTTCGAGATATCAGCCGATTTCTCGAACACTGGATAAAATGTATCTGTCTGATATCAAATTATACGGACAAAATAAAGAGTTAACTTGTGTTCATTGGTGTAATGTGACGGATGACTTCTCTCTATTTGATTGAGTATTAATTTATTGAACAGTAAAGTTTCATCAGAGTTTTGGAAAATCGGCCCTTAAAGAAACATTAAAATTAAATAATTTCTGTCTTTAATACATGAGCTTCCATAATATAATTATACACATAAGGCGACTCTGCCATCATCAGCCCTGCATTCTTACAGCATGGATGTTGTTTTATTTAATAAGGTGCTTCAGACGGTAAGTTTTTGGTCATACACTTGAAACCGACATTTCTTAGAATTTTATTGAATAAAATCGTATTTATAACTTTATTTTTTAAGCATGTAACTGCATGCATGTTTAAATCTAAAGAAAATATAACTAGAAAAAATTCCACGCGGGCCAGGCAGCAGGCGGGACTCGAACCCGAACCCTTCGCAATCCGGGCGAATGCACTGACCAATTATGCTACCGTCGAAATTCCTCTAGCCATTCTCAAGCTGCAAGGCAGCATTGTAGGTAACCCACAATGTCAAATGAATACTTTTACAAGTATTAAACATTTGAAAGAAGAAATAGCAGTTATAGTTATATTTTTTTAAGCATGTAACTGCTTGATGTTTAAATCTAAAGAAAATATAACTAGAAAATTTTTCACGCTAACCGGATATTATAACATCGTATTTTCGAAATGCATGGCTGAAAATACCTTCTACACTTTATACATCTATTACAAACTATTTAATACTAAACATTTTTTTCAAAAAGTATAGTTGGTCGTTCGCACTACCTACTCCAGTACTCTAACAAACTTATTAAAAAAACGTACACGCAAACCAGCTCTCAAAACGTCGCCGGCGCGGTAATCAACTAAAAGTTTTACCCCGGAAATATTTATTTTTTCTGCGGTGAAACTGTTTCGTTCAAAATATTTCTCCACTGCAAATAATATTTCGGTCGATACATTAAGTAAAAATTGGTGTGTTATGCTGCTGTGGATGTTGCATCTCGATTGCTCGACATTTTTCTATTAATCTATACAACTTCTTACATCTTATCTTATCTTACAGCTCATCTTATCTTACATCTTATCTTATCTTACATATAAATTAAATTGGAGTGTCTCTTTGTAAAATTGAAATAACCGCTTTTTACTACATGCATATGAATATATACGGTACATACACCAATTTTTTTTTTACAATTTTTGTCGGTCTGTCTGTTTGTTCCGGCTAATCTCTGCAATGGCTTTACCGATTTTGACGGGACTTTTATTGGCAGGTAGCTGACGTAAGGAGTAACCTAGGCTACTTTTATTTTAGGGAAATTCTTTTATTTTCGACTAGTGACCCGCCCTCGCTTCGCTTCGGTGTAGAGCTGTAGTGTAGACTATAGTTTTTGTTCTCAGGCTTGTGCTATAAACAATGACTTTATTTATATAATTACACGTGTTATTGTGAGTCAACCATAAAAGATAGACATATGCTGTTGCGGGATATTTTTTAGACAATTTTATGTAGAATATTTCCGTTATACATGATTTCTATGTAACTTTAACCATTAAGGCTGCACACGCGACGGAAGCT